AGAGAGAGAGAGAGAGAGAGAGAGAGAGAGAGAGAGAGAGAGAGAGGCAGCATCACCTCACATCTCAGAGAGAGAGAGAGAGAGAGAGAGAGAGAGAGAGAGAGGTTTTCTTTTTCTCTTCATTCTACAAATTCAGCTCAGATGTGTCACTATTTTATACAAATGAAATGTTAATTTAATTAGTTCTTGCATTTTGTGTCATTTTTTACCAACATGAGAACGTCCCCATTCAGAATATTATATCATTGGATTATAACTATTAACGCATTAATGCAGTGGATAAAGGCGGAGCTAATATAATTACTTAATTCACTCTGAGCTCGTGAATTTTCTTTAAGGGATCAAAAATGATTTATTATTGAAGGTTTATATTTGTTGATAATATTTTAAATGAACAATCTGAATGTGAAAGGCAGCAGCTAGCAGCTGGAGCTATACGATGGATGTAGTGGAGCAGAAGTATAAAGTAGCAGAAATGGTAATACTCATATACAAGTACCACAAAATTGTACTGAGGCACTGTACTTGAGTAAATGTAACGCTGAGCCAAGGTGCATAACTGGATAGATGCTGTAGAGAAAATGCAATGAAAATAACTTCACTAATATCCATAAGTATGAGATTGTGAGATGTTCTTCACCGGCTATGAGGGAACTTTAAGACCAGCAGCACAGGATTCATCTGGAAGCCATGACGGCTCAGTGTTCTGCACGTCATCTCAAGATAAGTTGGTAATTCACAACACTCCATCGGGCCATTAGGTCAGCCATCACAGACACAGCGGCCTGGACACAAATCTGACTTTGAGCTCCCATTAGAACAGTCCAGTGAGCTGCAGCCCTCTTCAGCTCAGCAGTCCTTATCTTTGCCTCCATGCTGGCCTTCAGCTAGCATCTTGTGCCGTTGTAAATGGGTTCATAATTGGCGCTTCGCTTAATGTTCGCTTTACTAAATGTTACAATCATTAAAAAGCAAAGGCAATATGCGTAGACATTCAGTTTAACTCCAGTAGCTAGCGTAGCATAAAAACGTATATCTCCTTCCAACCTCTCTACGAGTATCACTGACACAACGTTTAACCACGACCAGCTCCAAATCCACTAAAGCAGCCTGAACATGAAGAACATCTGAAACCATCCATGAGTCTGTGGAGCAGAGACGGAGAGTGGTCGGACCTTGGTTAGAGCTGGACAATGCTACACTGTGATTGGCCAGCCTGCGTTCGAGGGGCGGGACTTAGCGAAGGGTCAATTATCAGGTAAGACAGAATGTATATTGATATCAAGACGATCCTGCAAATTACTGCACAATTATATTTAATTACCGAAACGTCTCCGACAATAAACACATTCATCTGTATGAATGTGTGAGAGGCTCTCTGGGGCCTCCTGAGGGAACCACTGCAGATAAATGTGGAAATAATAAAGATGGACACACTGCGGCATGATTTTAATGAGGGACTTAGGCTTCTCCGATTCCACAAAAAACCAAAGTGGAAAATCAGCGACTGAGGCTTCTCCTGCTGCGCTGAAAGCCACTAAATTAACTTTGGGCGACAAAGTGGGAAATAATCAGTTAACAGACCTTGCATGAGATGTTGTCATGTGCAATTTACAGTCGAACGTGCAGCGCAGTAACACACACACACACACACACACACACACACACACACACACACACGTGGGGATGTGCTCCCATTCCCTTAGAAACAGATAAGGAAATCCCTGCAGCTTCTAACAGGCTGAGGATTTACTTTAAGCTCTTCGGGGAACATCTCTGCTGTCAGCTGCTGCATTCAACTTCAATTCCTACAGATATACCTTTCTTTATAAAAAAAAGAAAACGATCACCTGAAGCTCATCATTCTGCATACCTTATTTTAAAAAAAACAAATAAAAAGATAATTGAAGTGTTGGATGTGTTTGACATTAATGGACGTCTTTGTTGAAGTTTCTTTCGGCAGCTTATGTTTTCTTTGTGTCGGGAATTGTGGCTCAACGTTCACAAAACCAGAGAGTCTGAAAACAAGGAAGCGGAGCAAAGGCATTGTATTCTCCTGCAGCTGGCTTGTGTTTAACCTGCATCAGCTGGTTAAACACACAGAGGAGAGGACTTAGTGGACATTTTCACAACATCGATGTCATGCAGCTGGATTTCATCAAAGTCAAATAGACGGTGATAATCGAGTCCATTGATTGTAACATTTCAGAAATAGTGACACTTTCACAATGTTTGTTTTGTCCAGACAAGAGTCTAAACCTCTTGGTTGGACAAAAATAAATATAAATTCACTTTCTTTTTTCTAATTACAAGGAAAAGCATAGTACCCGAACAAATCAGCTTACCAGAACCTCCATGAGCACGGACGCTTGGCCAATCCTAGCTCTTGAATGCAGCACAGGGTGGGTTTTGCCAAGAAGAGCAGTGGCATTTATAAAAAAACGCGTTTAAGTGGATGTTTGTGGCTATCCTGAGATATCGCGTTCACAAGAAAGGGGCGGACAGACAACCAGACAACATAAAGACTCCGGCGCGGAGGTTTAAAAAGGTAGTGAGGTTAAAATGACGTACAAAAGTACAATATTACACTCAATAGTACAAATAGTAAAGTAGCACAAAAACAATGTAGACTACTCAGGTAAAGTACCTCAAATTTAAAGTAGATGTCGTAAGTGATATTTCACCCCTTCATTGCAAACCCTGGATTTTTTGCTCTGAGTCATGGCAGCAGAGATAAACATGCACATAAACTACACAATACGTCCAAATTGTAAACATGGGATAGAAAACTGTGTTTCAAGCTGCAGCCTTTGTCCGTCACACACAAACACGAGCGCTAACGCAGCACAGATTTAATGAAACGGCATCAAATGAAGCATATCGGAGGGACATGGGACCAAAGGGAGGGAATAATGCAATTTCACTTCGCTTTTCAACTCAGCCGAGGAAAGTCTCACAGCGGGAGCGACTGAACTCACATGCGGACCAAATGAGCTCGGACGGAAGCATTCAAAGGCATGCCGTCTAATTGAATTATGGGTAATAACAGATATCAATAAAGCTATAGCTTCCAGCAAA